GCACTGTCGCAGCATCATCTTTTAGGATTTGAAATAGCTCGGCTGGAATTCCATCATCTCCAATAGCTCTGTTTAGAGTGATGCTTCCTAAGACCCACTTGACTTCTCACTCCAGGATTTCTGACTCTAGGTGAGTGATCACACCATCGGCTTATCTGATGTGACAAGATCTTTTTGTTTAGTTCATCTGTGTATTTTCACCACCTCTCCTTAATAGTCATGTCCAACTCTTTGTGACCCCATGGACTATACAGTCTGTCGAATTCTCGAGGCCAGAATACTGGAGTGGGTAGCCTTTCCAGCTCCAGGGAATCTTCCCAACCCAGGGTTTGAACCGAGTTCTCCCACATTGCAGGAGGATTCTTTACCCGCTGAGCCACAGGGGAAGCCCAGTATAGTTCATCTCTGTATCCTCGCCACTTCTCGTTATTATCTTCTGCGTCTGTTAGGTCCATAGTGTTTCTGTCCTTTGTTGTGCCCGTCTTTGCATGAAGTGTTCCCTTGATATCTCTCTTTCTCTTTTTTCATTTTTTGGTTAATTTTTATATTCTATTGGAGTAGAGTTGATTTCTGTTGTGTTTGTTTTAGGTTTACAAGAACGTGATTCAGTTATACACAGATGTATATCTCTTCTGTTCTTTTTTGGGGTCTTTTCCCATATAGGTTCTTCCAGTGTATCTGGCGACTTCCCTGTGCTATGTGGTAGGTCCACTGGCATTTTCTATATTATAAAAAGTAGTGTGTTTTTGTTAATCGCAACCTCTAAATGTCTCCCTGCCACTACATTTTTTTTTTAAAGTTGTAAGTTAGGTTTCTAAGTCTGTGAGTCTGTTTCTGTTTATAGTTAATTTGTTTAAATTTATAGATGCCCGCTCTAAGTGATACTTCTTTCATCTCTGACTTCACTGAGTATGATAAATTCTCAGTCCATCCATGCTCCTGAAAATAGCATTCATTCCTTCTTTGGGAGTGTATTCTAGTGTTTAGATGGACATGAGACTCTTCATTTCTCTACAGATGGAACTTTGGTTGATGCTCTGTCTTAGATATTGTCAGTAGTGCTCCCCTGAAAATAGAGGTGCAACTATCATTTTAAATCATGATTTTCTCTGGGTTTAAGGCAAGGGGTGGGCTTGCCAGATCGTGTGGTAGATCTATATTTAGTGTTTTAAGGAATTTCAACACACTTTTCCTTGTGGCTGCACCCACTCAATTACACTCCCACCCACAATGTAGGAGGATTGTCCATGACCCTTGCCCTCAGCAACAATTAACCTTTGAAGACCTTTTGGAAGATGGATGTTCTGCGGGGTGTGAGGTGATACCTCACTGCAGTTTCCATTAGCGTTTCTCTAAAAGTGATCCTGAGCATCTTTTCATGTGTTTTATGGCCATCTGGATGCCTTCCTTGGAGAAATATCCATTTAGATCTTTGCCAGGTTTTCTATTGGACTGATAGGTTTTTTTTTTTTTTTTTTTTTGCAGCTTTATCATGAGCTGCGTGAGCAGTTTGCATGTTGGAAGATGAATTCATTATTTTAAACATCTGCTGCAAACATTTATTTTCCCATTCTGAGGGTTGTCTTTTTCTTTCCTTTAGGGTTGGCCTTGCAGTGCAAAAGGTTTTTAGGTGATGAGGTGACTTTTTAAAGTTTTGTTTTAGTTTTAATTATTCTAAACATAAATTCCAAAAGAACGTGTTGTGATTCATGTCAAAGTGTGTTTGCCTATATTTCCCTCAAGAGGATTAGAGTAATCTTCCATCCATTTAATCTTCAAGCAATTTGGATTTTTTCTTCTGTAAGCAGTTAGGGAGAGAGTAAATTCCTTCCCTTTCCCCTTGTTTAAGGAAGCTTCTCCCAGTCCTCCACCCTGACTGCTAACAGCTCACTGCCAGCATCAGTGCAGGAGCATTCCCGTGTCTCCACGTCCTCTCTGCCATTTTGTTAGTAAACATTAAGATATAGGCCATTCTGAGCTGTGTGAGGTGATACGTTCTTGTCGTTTTGATTTTAATTTCTTTAATAATTAGCGATGTGAGCATCTGTTCATGTGCTTTATAGCCACTGGATGTCTTCTGGGGAGAAATATCCATTTAGATCTTTGCCCTCTTCGGCTTTTTCTATTGAACAGCATGGGTTGTTTGCATGTTCTGGGAATGAGTTCCTTATTTTCACATTGGTTGTAACATTTTTTATCCTGAGGGTTATTTTGTTTTTCCTTTAGGGTTCCCCTCCTTTTGATCTCTGGTTCCTCTGCCTTTTCTAAATACAACTCGAACGTCTGGAAGTTCTCGATTCATATACTGTTAAAGCCTCACTTGGAGAATTTTGAGCATTACTTTACTGGTGTGTGAAAGAAAGTGAAAGTGAAGTTGCTCAGTTGTGACTCTTTGTGACCCCGTGGACTGTAGCCTACCAAGCTCCTCCATCCATGAGATTCTCCAGCAAGAATACTGGAGTGGGTTGCCATTTCCTTCTCCAGGGGATCTTCCCTACCCAAGGGTCGAACCCAGGTCTTCCGCGTTGCAGGCAGACACGTTAACCTCTGAGCCACCAGGGGACCCCAGTGTGAGATGAGTGCAATTGTGCTGTAGTCTGAGCAGTCTTTGACATTGCCTTTCTTTCAGATTGGAATGAAAACTGAACTTTTCCAGTCCTGTGGCCACTGCTGAGTTTTCCAAATTTCCCTGCATATTGAGTGCAGGACTTTAACAGCATCATCTTTTAGGATTTGAAATAGCTCAGCTGGAATTCCATCACCTCCACTAGTTTGTTCATAGTGATGCTTCTTAAGGCCCACTTGACTTCGCATTCCAGGACGTCTGGCTCTAGGTGAGTGATCACACCATCGTGGTTATCTTGGTCATTAAGATATTTCTTGTACAGTTCTTTTGTGTATTCTTGCCACCTCCTCTTAATATCTTCTGCATCTGTTAGATCCATACCATTTCTGTCCTTTATTGTGCCCATTTCTGCATGAAATATTCTTTTGGTATCTCTAATTTTCTTGAAGCGATTTCTAGTCTTTCCCATTCAATTGTTTTCCTCTATTTCTTTGCACTGATCACTGAGGAAGGCTTTCTTATCTCTCCTTGCTATTCTTTGGAACTCTGCATCCAAATGGGTATATCTTTCCGTTTCTCCTTTTACATTTTTGATTTGCAGTTTTGGCTTACATTTCTATAACATTTCAGAAAGTTGAAAACTTTTCATGTGACATTTTTAATAACAGTGTGAGTAAAACTGAGCTTTGAAGATCGGCCTCGTGATCTTTTGCCCTGGCTTGCCTCTTTTCCCCCGACGCACCTAGGACATTTCTTCAGGCAGGAGTTTCTTCCTTACAGCCCCTGAGTCCTGGTGAATGTGAAGTGCCGTCAGCCCAGGATTTTCGTTGCTGTGCCAAAGGCTGCCACAAGGCGGCAGCATTTCCTCATGCGTCACAATTATCTAATCATTTATTACGGTTAACTTTTATTTTCTATTGAAGTAGAGTTGATTTCTGTTGTGTTTATTTTAGGTTGACAGGAACTTGATTCAGTTATACATAGAGGTACATCTTTTCTATTATTTTTCGGGGTCTTTCCCATATAGGTTGTTTGAGTATATTCAGTAGACTTTCTGTGCTATTCAATAGGTCCATTTTGATTATCTATCTGAAAATAAGTAGTGTAAAGTAAACTCCAATAAGTAAACCCCAATAAGTAAACCCCAATCTCTTAATGTTTCCCTTCCCCTAACTTAAAATAAAAGAATCCTAAACTCGTGTTTGTATGTCTGTGAGTCTGTCTCAGTTTATGAATCAGTTCAGTTGAAGAATTTATAGATTCTCCGTGTATGTGAGCCTTTGCTTTCCCTCTCTGACTGGCTTCACTCAGTATGGTAAATCTCTCGGTCAATCCATGCTCCTAAAATGACTTGTTTTCATTTGTTTCGATGGCTGAGTTTTGATGGACAAGTTCCTCGTTATTTCTCTATTGATGGACAATTTCATTTATGCTCTGTCTTGGAGATTGTCAATCATGCTGCCCTGAAAATAGGAGTGCAACCATCATTTTCAGTTTTGATTTCCTCCCAATCTAAGACCGGGAGTGGGCTTGCCGGATCATGTGCTAAGTCTACGTGTAGTGTTCTAAGGCACCGCCATACTGTTTTCGTCTGTGGCCGCACCCACGCGTCTCCAGCCCCGCCCACAGTGTAGGAGGGGCCCGTTTGCCCAGCCCTCCGCAGCATCTCCTCCTTGTAGATGTCTTGGGGGAGGGCTCCTCTGAGCGGTGTGAGTGACACCTGGTTGCAGTTTGATCGGCATTTCTGTGAGAGTGGTCCTGAGCACCTTTTCATGTGCTTTGTGGACATCTGCGTGCCTTCTTTGGAGAAATGTCCATTTAGATTTTTGCCAGTTTTTCTACTGGGTTGATTGGTTTTTTTGATCATAAGTTGTGGGGTCTCCGTTGTGGTTCAGCTGGTAAAGAATCCGCCTGCAACGCAGGAGACCTGGGTTTGATCCCTGGGTTGGCAAAATCCCCTGGAGAAGGGAAAGGCTACCCACTCCAGTATTGCGGCCTGGAGAAATCCATGGGTTGTATAGTCCATGGGGTCGCAGAGTCGGACTTGACTGAGCGACTTTCACTGTTCCCTTTCACTGTGTGAGCACTTTGCATCTGTGGCGATGAATTAATTCCTTGTTTTTCACTTCGGTTGCAAACACTTATTTCCCCTTCTGAGGGCTTTTTCTTTCCTTACGATTGCCTTTCGTGTGCAAAACCTCTTCACGTTAATGAGGTGCCTTTTTTAAAGTTTAGTTTTATTTTGAATTATTCTGAGCATATACCATATACCAAGAAAAAACCTTGCTTTGGTTTATGTAAAGTGTGCGCTGTCTATATTTTCCTCTAGAGGTTTAGAGTAATTGTCCCTCCAGGTAACTCTTTAATCGGTTTGGAGTTTGTCTGTAAGCGGTTAGCGAGAGCTGTAAATTCCTTCACTGTCCCCTTGTGTAAGGAACCCCCACCCCGTCCTCCATCGGGGCTGTTAACAACTTCCAGTCCCAGCATCAGCGTAGGAGGCCCCCTTTTCTCCACTACCTCTCCAGCCGTTATCGTTTTTCAGGCTTTTTGACAAAGGCCGTTCTGACCGTTATGACCTGATATCTCCTTGTATTTTTTTTTATTTACATTTCTGTAATATTTCACGAAGCTGAAAGCTTTTCATGCGATATTTTTAAAAACAATGTGAGTAAAGCTGATCTTTTGAGATCGGCCTTGTGATCATTGATCCTGTTCTGAATTTCCCCCCAACCCACCGAGGACATCAGCTGGGGAGAGGTGTCTCTTCCTGCAGCCCCTCGGTCCTGTGAATGTTAAGGGCCCGCCTGCAGTTTCCCCGCTGTTGTTACCAAACGTGGCCACAAGGCGGCAGCACACCTTCATGTCCCGCGGCTTTGTTTTGTTGGCTAAATTAATATTTATTTTCTCTTGGAGTAGAGTTGATTTCCGTTGTTTTGTTTGTTTTGGGTTTGCAGGAACTTGATTCAGTTGCACAGAGAACTGCAACTGTTCTTTTTCTGGTTTGTCCCAGGTCGGTTCTTTCAGGGTGTTTTGTAGACATCTCGGTGTTATTCAGGAGGTCTTTTTGGATTATCTATCTGATAATACGTTGTAAGTATGTGTTAATCCCAACCTCCTAATGTGTCCCTCCTGTACCTGCTCTTTTAAAATAATCATAAGTTGGTTTTCTAAGTCTGAGAGTCTGTTTCTTTTTATAGATTCTTTCATTCGTATGAATTTATAGATTCCACCTGTAAGTGATATCTTTCTTTCCCTTCCCGACTGACCTCACTCAGTATGATAAATCTCGGTCCATCCATGCTGCCGACAATGATATTTTTTCGCTTTTTTTTGACGGCTGACTGATTCCCGTGTGTAGATGGGTCAGTGACTACTTCTCTATTGATGGACATTTCGACTGACGCTCTTCATTGTGCTGGGCTTAGTCGCTCAGTCGTGTCTGACTCTCTGCGACCCCATGGCCTGAAGCCCGCCAGGCTCTGCTGTTTTGGGGGGATTCTCCAGGCAAGAATTACCGGAGGGGGTTGCCACGCCCTCCGCCAGGGGATCTCCCCAACCCAGGGATCGAATCCAGGTCTCCCGCATTGCAGGCAGATTCTTTACCAGCTGAGCCACTGGGGAAGCTCTCTATTAAATATTGTCAATATTGCCGCCGTGAAAATAGGGTTGCAAATATCATTTAAAAATTATGGTTTTCTCCGGACCTAAGGCAATGGGTGGGCTTGCCCCATCATGCAATAACTACCTTTAGTGTGTTTCAAGTATCTTCATACTGCTTTCTTTCATTGACGCCCCCCACCCATTTACATCCCCGCCCACAGTGTAGGAAGATTTCCTGTTTGCCTCGCCTTCCGCATCATTTAATCTTTGTAGATCTTTTGGAAGATGGCCATTCTGAGGGGTGTGTGTTGGTGCCACGTTGCAGTTTTGATGGGCGTTTCTCTAACTGATGCTGAGCATCTTTCATATACTCTATGGCCATCTGGATGCCATCTGAAGACAAAGCTCTACTTAGATCTTTGGCCTGTTTTTCTATTGATTGTTTTTTGATATTGAGCTGAATGTACCGTTTGCATGTTTTTGGAGATGAATACCTTGTTTTTACGGAGAGGGAAATGGCAACCCACTCCAGTGTTCTTGTCTGGAGAATCCCAGGGACAGAGGAGCCTGGTGGGCTGCCGTCTATGGGGTCGCACAGAGTCGGACATCACAGAAGCGACTTAGCAGCAGCAGCAAGTCGTTTTTAAAATCGATTGTAACCATTTCCCCCAATTTAAGTGTTATCTTTTTCTTTCACTTAGGTTGGTCCTTGCTGTGCGAAAGCTTTTGAGGTTAATGAGGTTACTTTTGCTGAGGTGTTTTTGTCTTTTGGGGTTTCTTTTGTTATCCTAAGAGCAAAACCAAGAACTTGCTGTGATTTACTTCAAAACCTGTTTTGCCTATATTTTCCTCAAGAAGTTTAGAGTATCCATCGCTCCATTTCGTTCTTTAATAGATTTGGAGTTTCTTTTCTGCATGAGGTTTTCACTTAAGGAACCTCCGCGTTGTCCTCTGCTCTGGCTGTTAACAGCTGACATTGCCAGCATCAGTGTGGGAGAATTTCTTTTCCTCCAAAACTTCCCCACCATTTACTGTTTGTAGAGTTTTTGACACAAGCCATTCTGGCTGGGGTTAGCTCATATTTAGTTGTAGTTTTGATTTGAATTTCTCTAAAATTACTTCATGTTGAAAGGTTTCTATGTGATTAAAAAAAAAAAAAGAAAACTGTGATTAAAACCGACCTCTCAGGATTGGCCTCTTGCCCATCTGCCCTGTTTTCTTCTTTGCCCCGGACCCACCCAAGGGCACGCGTTGAGGACAGCTGTTGTATCCTATGTCCCCTCGGCCGATCCACGCTTTTGCCGATGCCACTTTCTCCTTCTGTTGCTGGTTGACTGTATTCCACTGTCTAGATGGACGAGTTACTTTCATTTCTCTATTGATGGACATTTTGTTTGATACTCTGTCTTCAATATAGTCAATAGTGCTGTCCTAAAATAAGGGTACACACACATATCATTTAAATTTTTTATTTTTTCCGGATCTAAGGCAAGGAGTTGGCTTCCAGGGTGTTAGTAACTCCATGTTTAGTGTTTTAAGGAATCTCCATGTTTTTCTTCTTGGTCGCACCCACCCTGCCTCCAGGGTAGAAGGATTCCTTTTCCCCAGGCTCTGAGCAGAGTTTAATCTTTGTAGATCTTTTGGAGGATAGCCACTCCCAGTGATTTTACCTGATACCTCATCATCATTTTGATTTGCATTTCTCCATTCATTAGTGATACTGAACATCTTTTCATGTGCCTTTTGGCCACCTCGATACATTCTTTGAAAAAAACATCCATTTAGATCTTTGGTCCATTTCTGTTGTTTTTTTTTTTTTTTTTCATTTTTATTGAGCTGCATGTGGTGTTTGCTTGTTTTGCAGATGAATTACTTGTTGATATATTTGCTTGCAAACTTTTTCTCCACTCTGAGGGTTGTCGTTTTCCTTCATTATGGTTTCCCTTGCTGTGCGAGTGCTTTTAAGGTTAATGAGGTTCCTTGCTGAGTTTTTCTTATTTCTATTTTTCATTATCCTAAGACGTGGATCCAGAGGGAATTTGCTGTGATTTCTGTCAAAGCCTGTTTTTCCTATGCTTTCCGCGAATGGCAGGAATTAACTGTCCCTTCAATTAGTTCTTTAATTAATTTGGAGTTTTTCTTTAAATGGTTAGGGAGTGTTGTAATTTCATTCTCTTTTTTTCTTGTTCAAGGACCCTCCTCCCTGTCCTCTGGCCTGGCTTTTAACAAGTTACTTTGGCCTCTTGACCACCGGCCCTGTTTGGAATTCTTTTTCCAGGACCTACCCCAGGACATTTGTTGAGAATAGGTGTTTTTTACTTAACATCCCTGAAGGACTGGTGAATATGAAGTGCCCATCAGCGCAACTTTTTCAGATGTTGTTACCAAAGCAGCCACAAGGCGGCGGCATTTTTCATCCTCCACTTTTTTTGGTAATTTCTTTTTTTTCCTAACAGAGTTGATTTCTGACGTGTTTGCTGTGGGTGTAACAGAAACTTGATTCAGTTATAAATAGATGTACAGCTGTTCTTTTCTGGGATCTTTTCCCATGAAGGTTATCACAGCGTTCCTTCAACTTCCTGTGCTATTCAGGTGGTTCGTGTAGATTACCTGTTTGCTATGTAGTAATGTGTACATGTGAGAGTTGGACTATAAAGAAAGCGGAGCGGCGAAGAATTGGTTCTTTTGAACTGTAGTGTTGGAGAAGACGCTTGAGAGTCCCATGGATTGCAAGGAGATCCAACCAGTCCATCCTAAAGGAGATCAGTCCTGGGTGTTCATTAGAAGGACTGATGTTGAAGCTGAAACTCCAATACTTTGGCCACCTGATGCGAAGAGCTGACTCATTTGAAAAGACCCTGATGCTGGGAAAGATTGAAGGCAGGAAGAGAAGGGGACGACAGAGGATGAGATGGTTGAATGGTATCACTGACTCAATGGATATGGGTTTGAGTAACTGCGGGAATTGGTGATGGACAGGGAGCCCTGGTGTGCTGCGGTTCATGGGGTCACAGAGTCGGACATGACTGAGCGACTGAACCGAACTGAACTGTACATTTTACTCCGTTAGTGTATTCCTCCTCCAACTTTAAAAAAGAAAATAAACCAACAATGAGCTGGTTTTTTTTTAAACTCTGGGTCTGTTTCTATTTGCAAGTTATTTCATTTGCATGAATTTCTGGCTTCCACCTGTAAGTAATATTTTAGGATGTTTGTCTTTGGTCTCATACCTCAGTGTGATAATCTCTCGGTGCATTCATGCTGCTGCCCCTGGTGTTTGTATTTTCTGAGTGTATTCCACCATATAGATGGGCCAGTTAGTCTTCATTTTTTGTCGATGGATATTTTGGTTAATGCTCTGACTTGGTTACTGTGAATAGTGCTGCCCTGAAAATATAAATGTATATATTCTTTTGAATTAGGATTTTTTTTCCAGATCAAAGTAAGGAGTGCTATTGCTGAAAAATGTGGTAACTCTCTTTTTCATGTTTTAAGGGACCTCCAAATATTTTCCTTTGTGGCTGCACCCACCCATTTACAGCCTTGCCCATGGTGTAGGAGGGTTCCCTGTTCCCCTCGCCCTCGGCTGCACTTAAGCTCTGAAGATCTTTTGAGGCCGTTCTGAGCCGTGTGTGGTGATGGCTCTTGGTAGTTTTCATTTGCATTTCTTTAATAATTACTGATGTTGAGTATCTTTCCATGGCCTTTTTACTTTCTTCGGGGGAGTACAGTTAACCTCTAGGAAGTGGCTTCTTGGAAGTCAGCCCTGTTTTGAGTTCTGCTCGTGTGATTTACCCGGGAAGATTTCTTTAGGGCGGGTGTCATTTAGAGCCCCACAGGACTGAAGAGCGTCAGCACCGTTTTCAAGGGGCTGTTACAGGGAATGACCACAAGGTGGCAGCATTTCCTCATGCCCGCTCTGGTTACCTGGGCAACCAGAGCCTTAGGGCAAGTCCCCTTTCTGGGCTGTCAATGAGACT